CCCGGTTTGGTGTTTCCACCGCAAAAACGCTCACCCCAACCCGATTCTGACCCGACTCTAGCCCGACTCTGACCCTCGGTGGAAACGTAGTCAGTGATGCAAACTTTGGGTTCCAAGCACCATGAAAGTGGCTGTGTTCTCCAGAAGTTAGCGCTTAATAAGCGCTTTATGCTGATTGGATAGATCTAGAAGAATAGCTCTATTTCAGCACAGATCTGAAAGTATAATCCAATGAACGCAAAGCGCTTAGCAAGCGCTAACTTCTGCTGGACACAGGCAATGGCCGCGTTCAGCAGACACAACTGTTGAGTGAGCGCTCAGTATGATTGGTTAATACTTTTAGATCCAACCAATCATATTAAGAAATCATTGAGCTAGTTTACACCGATCGTTTGGTACGCGTACCAAGTACTATATCGGTATCAAATCGCTTGATTCGCTCGATGTAAACGCTCGCGGATTACTTTAGTGCGCTCTGGTCTGATACTCCTGAATCGCTAGTATCAGACCAAGTTGGTGCGCGTATCAAAATATTTTAGGGCGCTGTAAACGCTTGATTCGATTCGGGTCGTATTATACCCGGCATTCCTGCTAGATTGAGGTTAGAAGTATGATTCAGTTTAGCATATTGTGGTAGAAGTTTGATTTTACTTTATCCAGATTAAAAATCTAACCTAACCTGTTTTGAGACGAAATGGTGTAAACAGGGATGTATCAAATGTTTAATCCGTACCAACTTAATGTGCGCACCAACCGATTTAGGCCCGGTTTCACCAACGCGAGTTAATCTAATCGGTCGGTTAATTTGACAGGGTGCCAACATAAAACTTCTTTATTAACCAAGAAAATAGGTTAATAAAGAAGTTTTATGTTGGCACCCTGTCAAGTTAACCGACCGATTAGATTAACTCGCGTTGGTGAAACCGGGCCTTAACGGTGTAAACTAGACCATTGAGCGCTCACTCAACAGTTGTGCCTGCTGAACGCGGCCATTAATCCAACAACAACAACATTGACCCTCTCCTTACTATATATTTACTATATCTATGGCCAAACCACGACACGGTGAAGCGTGCGGACGACGCGGGCGTAGGTAGACACGCACCTAACATTTTGACGAGATGGCGGAGAAATCACGTCGAGTGGCACAAACGGAGGATTTATCGAACGTAGAGTTCGAAACCAGCGAGGATGTCGAAGTTATTCCTACCTTCGATAACATGGGTCTCCGCGATGAATTATTGCGTGGAATCTACGCGTACGGTACGTCGTTTGCCGCTCGTCGTTTCGAGCTAACCTCAATTTTTACGGGGTTATTTTTTTCTAGATTGAACCGCCGTAAATCGGTTTGCGGAGAAAACAGATCGTCTCGCATGTACGATAGACGCAATTCGCGTTTCCTTTCCTTTTCTAAGGTTGTCGAGGCCCGGTGTTTCAATTTTTGGTTAACTGCTAACCAGTAGGTTAATCGACTAACTTTTGGTTAAGCTAAACAGAAAATGAAAATCGAGCCCGATTGTGAAAATCTTTGGTTGCAGTTGCCAGCAACTTGTGACTATACGTTTAAGTTTTATGGATTTTCTCATCTATGTTTTCCTTGTATCCTCATCAATACGATGTCGGGAAACTCACAATAGTGTGATTTGTAGTAACGTCTCAATCTGAAATATACCTTTAAATATACAAAATATATATATTGTTTCTATTCCCGTTTAGGTTTTGAGAAACCGTCAGCCATCCAGCAGCGATCAATCAAACCCATCATGAAGGGCAGAGATGTGATAGCACAAGCACAATCTGGTACGGGAAAAACCGCCACCTTCTCGATTGCAATATTACAGTCGCTGGATACGCAAGTACGAGAAACCCAGGTTCTGGTTTTGTCCCCGACTCGAGAGCTCGCCACTCAGATCCAGAAAGTTATCCTCGCGCTGGGGGACTTCATGAATGTACAGTGTCACGCTTGCATTGGCGGTACAAATCTTGGAGAAGACATCAGAAAGCTCGATTATGGTCAACACGTTGTGTCTGGTACACCTGGTAGAGTATTTGGTGAGCGCCGCAATTTTTATAAGTTGTACATGATACGAGAAAGAATTTTTATTGGCGCTAACACTTGCATAAAAATTTATGAAACTAGACATGATTAAGAGGCGAGTTCTCAGAACGAGGGCCATCAAAATGCTGGTACTGGACGAATCCGACGAGATGTTGAACAAAGGATTCAAGGAACAGATTTATGATGTGTATCGATATCTACCACCGGCGACGCAGGTTGTCTTAGTCTCGGCCACCTTGCCACACGAAATTCTCGAGATGACTAGTAAATTTATGACGGACCCCATTCGTATCCTCGTCAAACGGTAAATAATTTTATCTTCAATTATTATTAACCCTAGAACTCACACGTTATTTGTTTTACCTTCTAACTCACAACTGGGGTCAATATCGACTCCACGCTTTTTTTTTATTGTAAAACCGGTCCTACAATGATAAAGGGCCTTAATAGTACATGAATTTCTTCGTTTTTTAATAAAGAAGAGAATAGTATGCGATAAATTTAGTTTCACTCAAAATTAGTTAATGAAAAATCCATTTAAAGACCGAGCAATGTAGAAAATCAGCAAAAACCTCTTTTTTTAAACAAAAATTTGTATCTTTTTTTTAATCAACCGATTTTCAAAATTCAAACGGGGTTTTAAAGAGGACACATTAGACTATTGGAAAAAAATTGTCATCGCTATGTTCTGTTCAAAAAGTAGATTTATTTGGGACTAAAAATGAAGAAATTCGCAAAGTTGAAATATGGAAAAAGTTGATGAAAAAAACCATAAAAAATTGTATTTTAAGTATCATTTTATTTTTATTTGATACAAAATAGTAAAAAATATGAAAGAAATGAAAAATACTTAGTCGCAACTCGCACAATCGCCTAGCCATTTTCTGCGAAATGTCAATCTTCTATAGGCAACGGGATTTTTACCGACTAAGTTGTGTGATATTTCGTCTTAAATGATATTTATGACTATTTATGCTCAGATTACGTAATAATACATGAAATATATTGATTCTAGCAAAAAATATAAAATTAGCTTACCGCCACGAAACACAAACGGCAACTCACAACTGGGGTTAATATCGACCCCACGCACGCTTTGCGACGGTGCTGTGTCACTGCCAGCGAACAACTAACGCTGCGTCCGACATATAGCCCTACTTTTAGAGTTAAAATGAATTATGGTTCAGGTCCTGAGTCGATAATGCCACTCGCTAGCTCAGGAGCGTAATTCAAAGTTTGCCTGGAGCCGAAATCGACCCCGGTTGTGAGTTCTATGGTTAAACGCGTGCGTATGTCGCCCTAATTATTTCTAATTCCAGTGATGAATTGACATTGGAAGGGATCAAGCAGTTCTTCGTCGCTGTCGAGCGAGAAGAATGGAAATTTGACACGCTCTGCGACTTGTACGACACGTTAACGATAACGCAAGCAGTTATCTTTTGTAATACCAAACGTAAAGTCGACTGGTTGACAGAAAAGATGCGAGAGGCCAATTTTACAGTGTGTTCCATGCACGGAGATATGCCACAGAAAGAACGAGACAACATAATGAAAGAGTTTCGATCTGGTCAGAGGTAAGATCAAATTCCAAAGGTGAAATTTTGAAATGGTTATCTTTTCGGCAGGAAATTACATCAATACATTTCCCTTTTCTTTCACAGTCGTGTGTTAATCACCACGGACGTATGGGCGAGAGGAATTGACGTTCAACAGGTGTCGCTCGTAATTAATTACGATTTGCCTAACAATCGTGAATTGTACATTCATAGAATAGG